CACACACACACCTGTTTCTGCAGCTGTGTCCTTCTCCACGCTTATGGGCTTCACCTCGAACATTCTGATTGGTCAGCTGGGCGAATGAGGGCAGGGCTCCTCACTCATGCCCAATCCGCACGAGCAGAAGACGTGAAGACTGCTGATGTCACATCCTGCTCTGTATCAAAACACCATGGAGATGCACAGACTATACCTGAAACACACAGAAAATACCACGACATTTAATAACCGTATGAGTGTGTGTGTGTGTTTTGAGAGGCCTGCATGGAAACATGTTTGTGATGCCCGGGTGTATAATCACTCCCTCATTCTATTTCAGCTCTGCTTGAGTCTTTCTCCTCCAGCTGTTTGGCAGATTAAGTGTGTATTAACTGAGCGAGAGATAAAGACCTAACATTATAACCATTACGTAAAAAGGAGAGTTACGTGAAAGGCTTCAGTTTATTATTTCCCTTACAAAAATTATATTTTCCATCAAAACACCATAATTACTACTAGAGATTGACCGATTTGTGTTTGTTAATGACTGATACCTTTCATTTTTGTTTCAGTGCGCACTACCCAGAAACCATTTCTCATTAGTGTTATTTTTGATTATTTGACATTATTTGAGTATTAATTAGACTACAATAATAAAAGCATTATATACATCATGAATAATAATAATACAAAATAACAGCACTTTAGTGTCCAAATAGTTTTCGGGTCACTGTCTCTAAAGCTTGACTGTTTTCTTCTTCAGGCCACGTCGCAGCTGTCTCCGAGGGGGGAGTGAGGGGCACTTCCTGTTGTTCAGAAACTCAACGGCTCCAGCGCGATTTAAAGGAGCAGATATGAACTTCCTGTCTTGGAGGGAAGAAAATCCCATAGTATTGTACATGGTGATGTTTACAGAGCATGATATTGATTTGAGAAACATGGGTTGGCTTTATAATGGACGAAAACTGAGGGCCACAATTCCCTTTACAAAAATTTACTATAACAATCACCCGCCCAAAAAAAAAACAAAAAATTAAATCTATATATATATATATATAAATTCAAAAATAAGAAACAATAAATAAATAAAAAGTAGGATAACAGAAAATACATTTTGTGTTTCGTGAACAGATATTGTGAAATATTATTACAATTTAAAAGAACTGTTTTCTATTATATAATTTAAAATGTCAATTATTTCTGTGATGCAAAGCTGAATGTTCAGCATCATTACTCCAGACTTTACTGTTGATGAATAGAAATTTCAAAAGAACAGCATTTATTTGAAATAGAAATCTTTTGTAGCATCAATTTAGTTTGCTGAATAAAATACATTCAAATATTAAATAATAAAAAAACAGTAGGTTTTCATAGTAAGCTTTTGCATAAGGGTCACAGTCAAACTATTTATCACAGTGAAGATGCTTCACCTTCCTTGTGTGTGTTTGTCAAACTCAGGAGGGTGTGGATGTGGGTTTTGTGCACAGAGAGATCAAAACAAACCAAACAAAAGTGAAAGTGAATTTAGTGAACGATTTAATACAACAAACTCCTTGTAATAATCTTACTCGGCGAATACATTCCGAGTGAAATTGAAAGAAAATGTTTATTTTTTACATTTTCAAAATTATAGTGCAATTAGCTGCTTTTATTTCCAGCTAATCTTTAGAGCAAGATCCTAAGCACTTAATCCTCAGCTCACTGTATATTAGCAGTTTCCTTTACAACTCCGGTATTCACTGAACCTGAAAAACTCGATGTATTCTCTTGTTACTGTCAGAAGATAAGCAGCTATGCAAGGCCTTTCTGTCAAATAATTCACAACAAGAAAACCATGCATGAATATTTACGATCTTCCTCTTTTTGTATTTCTCCAGGAAGTTATTACTGTTTTGGGAAGTGCAAAGCTTGCGATGACAACCTGTTCTTTTAATATCGAGCCTCATGCCCACAAAGTCTGACCAGCCCATTATAGGAAACTGCGTGGAGAACAACAGACTCTTCATCAATGGTGTGTGACAGTCTCAGGGTCAAACCAATGTTATCTCAACCTGACTCGGCAGTAGATGCAAAAATCACCATCATAGGACGAGAAAAACAAGCATATCCAAACATCAGACTGTCATTTTATTATTGACACATCGAGCACCGCTGTCAGACGCATCGCAAAAGTAAAGGTATGTTTGTGAGGGTGCGGTTCTGCTGTTCAAACGCTCTTCTGCCTCTGCAGTGGCATGAATCCAAACGCTTCCAGCAGCATTGTGTCTGATCCAGACGTTAATGCAGAGCTCATGACGGCTGCCACTGTGATTATACCAGCATGACTTCCAACAAGCTGAAATAAATTACACTCGTCTCATATATTCTCAGCCTCCCGTTTTGAGGGCAAGAAGCGTCAATACACCTCCATTAGCAGCATGTCATCTGTTCATCAATCTTCCCTCTGACCCACAGCAAGCTGTCTGCAATTATCTAAACCGTTACAAACTAAAACAAAATTAAAAAAAGCATGTGACAGGATTCAGAGGGATCCAGTTGCATTTTGAAATATGACTGTGAACAAACCAGATTATTTAAATGGTTAAAAAAATTTAAAATAATAATATTATATATATATATATATATATATATATATATATATAGGAACTTAATAGTATTATAAATGTATATATATATATATATATATATATATATATATTAAAATGTTTGTTTTTTTAACTTGTAATATTCAAAATGTTAGGCTAGTTTGTTTATACAAATAATGCATCACTTTAACTTAATAAATAAATAATATAAGATATAAAACAAAACGTCTTAAGTTTGGTTGACTGAAAGTCAACAAGTAGTGTTCATGAATGATGAAATTCATAAATCAGATGTCAGTGATGACAATGAAGGGCATATTCAATCTTTTTTTACATATTCACAACCTTCCAGTGATTTATCACTAAGATCCACTGATAAGGATGAATATAGATGATTATATTTATTTTTATCATAACACCTGAGCTGAAATACATGAACAAAAGCAGCACAGAGATGCTCTAGTCTATATAATGATGCAGTGTGAGGGGAAAAACAATCCATTTGATCTGATGCAACAGATTTCATAATGCCTGCAGATGTGCTATCAGATTATCCAGAACAGAGTTATGACACTCAGAAAACACATCTACTCATCCGTTGATCACTCACTTCAAAACATACCCAGAAATGCACTGATCTGATCCCGATGCACAAGAGCCAGTGTCCAAACGAGCCTCCCTCATGAGGCACATCCGTGATTTTACCCGCTACAACCCGTCAAACTCATCCACCCTCCCTGCATACACACAAATGTAGGCGCATGACTCATCAAAGAACGGAAAATCTCTCTCTTACCTTTAGTTCACCTGAATTCCGTCGTTTTCCTGAGCGCTACCGGTGCATGCGGCTCCTGTCACTTCGAGCGTTTGAGACAATAGCGAAGAGCGCGCGGGAGGGAGGGGCTTGGGGAAGCGTTGACGCCAACTCTAGCGTCAGCGAGCTGTACTTACGTCATATATTCCGCGACATTTGTTTGTGATAAAAGTCCCTGAGCGATCTATTTATTTATTTATTTATTTATGGATGACAATTACAAACATTATTATACATATAAAAAAATTGTAACCAGCAAACAACAACAATAATGATGATGATAATAATAATAATAATAGAGAAAGTAGATAGAGGGGAAGATTGGTCAAATTCTTTTCTACATGTTAGGTAATAAAGTAAGATTTAATTTTGAATGTTTAAGTCCCTTATCCCTTATACAATTATTCGAGGGATTCTAAAAGTGCAATTTAATGTAGGCTTTCCACTATTTTTAGATCATTTCTTATTATTTTCATGAAAAAATCTTAAATTATTATTATTATTATTTTTTATTGCTTGAAAAGAACATACAAATACCAGGTAAACAACAGTAAGAAAAATCTTAATACAATTCCAATAAGTCCAAATAGCAGCACGACAAAGAGAAATATATAAACAAAATAAACATAATTAGAATGTTAAGAAAGAAAAATAAATAAATACAGAGAAACTTTCCAAAAAAAGAAAAAAAAAAACTATACAAGGGACTCAATCATCAAAAAATATATAAAAGGATTACATTGCTTTAATGGCTTTTTTTTTATGATGCATGAGTTTTAAAGATTTAAAGAAGACCATTAAATCTTCTTTGGGGGGGGGGGGGGGA